AAGAGAGTAACTGAATTAAAAGTTATGATAAAAGTCAGTGACTAATTGTGTAGTTTACCCTAAATCCAACCTTAGGATTGCAAAACCTACACCATCATACCGTTTTTTTTTATACACCATTACGCTATTGAGGTTTTTTTTTATCTTAATTACATAATGAGAGACAAATCTCTCATATCTTTTATTTTACCTCACTTGCATGTTATATATCTTAAATTCAAATTTTTTTTACTTTTAACAAAAAAGTGTTATTACTAAACTGTTCATGTTATTGGTTACATCATTGAGCTTTAGTTTGAGAGTATTGCACTATAATTGTAAATATAGGTTCTTTGGTTTTTCAATATTGTAATATGTACAATATATTTAATATATAAGGTTAGTATATATCAGTTTTGATTAAAAAAATAAAAAGAATCTCAACATATATTTAGAAATTGAAATCTTAATTTAAAATTTAAAAATTTAATCAATTTTTAAATCGAAATATCAATATTTAATAAGATAAATTTTTAATTTTTAAATTAAGTTTTAATTAAATAAAACAACATAATTTAAAATTGAAACTCTAATTTTATTAAGAGTCGAAATTAACATGTATTTTTTAATATATTTAATATTTATTTTAATTAATATTTTATACAATATATTTTTAAGATGATAAAAATAATAAAAAATAATAAAAATCCAAAAATATCCCTGAAGGAAGACTAAATTTAATATTTTACTCCGATTCAGTCAGCCTAAAAAACATAAAGTAATTACAAGCGCAAACTAACAAATTCAACTTTCGTACATACATGCAACAGGGCATGTGAATCATGTTTTGTTCCTTTCAGGAATCCCACTCCCATTAAAAAGCCAAAAAGGTTAATGTAAATTAATCGAGTAATTAATTTTATAAGTTGGAAAAGAATGATGAACCACACGTTCGCACGGCCTGTAAATAAAGACGGGTCATGTGCCATGACTCGCCACAAAGAAGAATCTCTACCAGTCAGCTGCTTGCATTGTGATTAAGATTGCTAACAACCATTCTATATAATTTCTCTCCGCGTCTTAAGAGCATTACTTTTAGTCCAGTTCACCATCACTATTTTGGTGGTTAGGCACTATCAAAACCCAAATTGAGTTGTAACGTTCTGGATAGCTAATTTGAAAATTCATCGAATCCAAACTACCCATATGGATCCCAATAAGACAACTCATATATTTCTTTCCCTTTTTTATGGGGAAAGAAATTATTTTATTAAGAAATATAAGGGATATTTATAAGGGTTGAATTCATTAATAATAATAATAATAAAGTCATTTTGTTGGCTCAATCTAATATTTAAGTTTCAAAATTAACACTCAATAAAATTAATTTTTTTAAATATAATAAACCACCAATATAAGAATGCATTAAAGAAAAATTAATCTCAAAATATACAAAAAAAAAAAAAAAAACTACTTATATTCCTTGAATGGAGACAAGTCTACATACATTCCTTGCGTCTATCTCCAGCTTCTCTAGTTCTAAGCCACCATCTTTTATCGTGCAGCCTCGGTGGAGCAAGACAAAATCAATTCTCGGCCACCATTCCCAGTCCTAGTGCCAT